CATGACCACTTTTTTGCTGGATTTATGCTGTCATACATTACATAAATTCAATGACATGTAAATAAGACAATCATACAGAATTATGAGTATGGGTAAATAGTGGTAGTTTTAACCACCCTCAATAGTTAAAAATGACTTTTAACTGCAACAGAGAATTTGAGGGTTAACACACTAAAAACAAGGATAACAATGCCATAATGTGGGCTTCCATGAGTCAGCAAAAGCAATTACTGTCCTTCCCAGAAGCAGGGAAGCAGTAGGGTTAGGAAAGCTACTTTAAAAGTATATTACACTCGGGTCCTCAAGTTCAAAACCAAGTCAAGGGAACCACCCTTGAGCATACACTCGGTTTAGTGCCAGCATGGCAATATTGTTTTACGATTCCAAGATCTGTAAATTTCCATATTTATTTCATGGCTTGTTATATCATATTTAAACTCAATATCTTCATTTTCCCTTAATTAACACATTCGAGCCAAGAGTTTTCTATGTACGTCGACCAATCTCGCAAATTCATTAGTCCTTATAGTCCCGCTCATTATGTTAATAACCCATAAGTAGAAGATAAACAGGTTTCCTAGTATGGCGTGTTCATGAATCTATATTTACTTCTCAAAAACATTTGCATGCAAAAGGCCCTATTTACTTCAAGTTTCAAAGCCAATTCACCTTGCCAGCTTGCATAGCTCTTTTGCATACTAAACAAATTTAATTTTAGCCCTTAAATAGCACTCTGATGACAAATTGGAAGGCAGCTGAAGTTTGACACTGCCATTGTTACATGTTAATTAGACTGATTGCATGGCCGTCAAACATGCTAACAATGAGCATTCAGTCCATTGTGTGAGGGTACGACAGCTAGACAAAGCAGAGAAAGATGTGTGCTGGGAATGAGCAAATCCCATATGCCCTGCTGTGGGATTATTCTACACGCCACACTATAGGCCATGTCTGGGAGCCAGGATGCATGGTAGGAGCCTGTGGTCTTTGCCTCTTCCCCAGTGTCTCCAGTGGTCTACACTGTGACTATCCCCTGGTGGCCTGGCTCCAAAACCGAAGGTAAAGAAAGCTATGTAAATGACAGCGTTGCTTATAGGGGTTGAAAAATAGATATGTTTTGATCATCCTTTGGGGTGTTTATTCTCGGATTTCCTCACTATAGCAATAGCTTATTCAAGGAAACTGCAAATTAAAGATGGTTCTATCTTTGTTTCTTTGGTACCTTACCATTATTGCTATCCAAAGGTTGCAAATTAAGATTCTCCTTGTGTCTCAGCAACCACCAAGGCCAGAAAAATGTGCCATAAAGAATACGTTGCAATCGTTTGTGGCTTATTTGCTAAAACTGGCTGAGCTGCACTTCCTCTTATATACCGTACCAGTTCCAATGGTTGTACTGTATTTAAGCAGCTACCTGACGCTCACAGTGTGATGTCTTCTTGTTCAGATGCCCAACAGATGTCTCAGGATTATTGCATCTTGGCATTGCTGGCACCAACAGCTGACTGAGCATCTTTGTGTTTTACTTAAAGAAATAGCTCTCCTAACGTCAATTCTGTCATTATTAATTCACCCTTGTGCATTTCATTTTTCTGGAGGAACACAAGTAGATGCTTTTAAAGAATTGTTACGCAAGAGTTATAGTGTCGAGGAGCTGTCAGACTCCAAAACGAAAAGAAAAACTTGTGCGTTGTCTCTCGCATTGCACGTCTTCAAGCCAAACCAATGGTTTGTGAGAAACATACTGAAATTAGAAATTTAATTATGCATTTTAAATTTCTAATTTCAGTATGTTTTGGTAATAGTAAAAAATTACCAGTATGTTTTGGTAATAGTAAAAATTATGATAATGTTTACTATTACCAAAACGTGCGTCTAGTTTTTTTTAATGTCTAGAATCAAAAATAGTGCATCAATTTCTGTATTTCGGCATACATTTTTTGGAACAATATTAGGGTATATATTGCAGGTCAGTGACACAAGTTTTACTGTATGCACATCATGTAATTTTACCACACTTTCTCTACAGTACACATATAGTATCACCATAGTTTTACTAACTCAACCTATCTAATGTTTACTCTCATGACACATTTTGTCGGGAGTCTTAAATCATAAAATGGTAGTGCTTTATATCCCCATTAAATTCAGCCATAAGTAAACACAAACAAAGTATAAAACCGATTCCATTTGGAAGTACAGGGTATGTTTCCAATTCATTTCTAAATAAAAAATGTTTTGAAGTAAATTTTAGATGTCTACCTTTATATTTAGAAGCACGAGATGTTTTTTGTTTTTACTCTTTTCCTCTGTCTGTGGTGTAGATATTTATAAAGATGACTGGTTCTCTACCACAATTTGTTCTGTAACTGTTGATTTTTGCATCCATCCTGTTTCCTCATGTGTAAAATGACCATCTGTGCCGAAGCCTTTAAAGATCCCCGGCTTCTCTCCAGGGGACATGCTGACTGGCCATATAAGCAAGTATCTGCACCAGATTGCTTTATTATTTGAGTATTGGTGAGCATAAACAACACCTGAAAGGTCAAGTGAAGCTAGTTTAAATCAAACCTACTAAAACTGCTGCAATACTGCAAGCTTGTGGGTTTGTAGTCTCTTTAGCCCTGAAATGTCAAAACACTGAAGGTCCCAAGAGGCATCTAGCAAAGAAGGGAGGGATCCTAAAGTAAACTCAGAGTCCACCCAAATGACCATCGGCCCGGCCCTGCACACAAGCGGTCGGCTTTAACTGGGGGCAGAATGAGTCACAGTCAGTGTGGTCAACTCATAAGTGCATATTGAATATTAAACCATCTTTGTTGAACATGGACCCATATGGATGTACTTTATGCATAATCACCTTTTTGCCCTAATGCACAATTGCACAATATGCACATTATTTACAGCATACTTCATGCATAGCAAATGCAAAGTAGAATTACACACGACCTGTCTGGGTTAGATTTTGCTTCAATTTTATTTCTATTAAAAAAATAGTTCTTTTACTTAAAACTGTTTATTAACCTATTTAATTTTGGGACCATTTTTTTTATCCATCATGACAATAATTTAATTACAATTGCCCATTTCCTATTTTCCACATTTATTTATTTCAACCAGTATGGATTTAAAAATATATATGTATTCATTTTTGACATAGACATGTTTTTGTGGGATATGCCCAGTAAGTGCATAACATTAAAATAATGTACACCATATGCTCTCAAAATGCATCTTTTTAGATAATTTGCCTTATGAATGCAGCTTATGAATACCACCCAGATATTAGATAAATGCATACAAATAGTTTGGCACATCTGTTTTAAAGCTTTTTTTAAAATGTCGTCTTGTTTGTAAACACAATAAAATGAAAGCCAGTTATGCAATAGGACAGAAGTGGCAAGAGATTTTTTTATAACAGGAATGGAAGCAGAAGACTATGTAACAGTGAATCACTTTGACATATCACAGTCTGTTTGGTATATTCTGAATCACGTGATAACATATTTGAGGCGTTCTGTGATTTATATTTTCATGTCCACAAACTAAACAGTCTGTCTGAGAATTTGTCCACATAAGGTGGCTTGTCTGGAGAGCACCATGTCCTGAAGTGGTATACAGCCTGGGTTTGTCAGGCTGCCAGTTCCTCACCATGCTTGGGATAGAAGCAGACAGCACTGAGCCAACCCAGTCCAGTGGGTGTAAAAGAGATGTCGACTTGTTTATAATATAGTTTGTTCTCTGAAACCCACTTCGAGGCCCATAGTATGCAAAGGTCATTTCAGCCAAGTCAGAAGACATACAGCCTCAATGAATCTACATGAAGCATGAATGAACATGGCTGAAAGAATAGTTTATTATTATTTATATTGGCATGCCTATAGGCTTTGGCTTGTACTTGAATTGTATGCGTGTTATTTTCAGAGAAAGTTGCAAAAAGAGAAAAATACTGTCAAATATTGCAAAAAAAAAAGGTGAGTTCATTTGAAAGATATAATACTTTTATTCACCAAGGATGCATTAAATTGATCAAAAGTGTTACAAAAGATTTTTTTATAAAAAAAAAAAAAAACTACTTTTGATCTATTCAAAGAATCCTAAAAATTTATGTATCATGTTTTCCACAAAAATAGTAAGCAGCATAACTGATTATAACATTAATAATAATGGGCATATCAGCATATTATAATGATTTCTGAAGGATCCTACAAGAAGATTGGAGAAGTGGATGCTGAAAATTCAGCTTTTCCATCAAATGAATACATTTTAAAATACATTAAAATAGAACAATTTAAAGTTATTTTAAATTGTAATAATATTTCACAACCTTACTGTTTTTTTCTGTCATTTTTGATCAAATAAGAGACAACAGTTTAGACAACAATTTAGACTTTTGCAATTCTGAGAAAAAAAAAACTCAGAATTGTGAAATATAAACACAGAAAATAAAAAGTGGGATGCACACTCAGAAATCTGATCCATTTTTTGCAATTCGGAGTCTTTATCTTGCACTATAATACATTATTCTAATAATAAAATTAAAATATTTTTTAATGTGCGTAAGAATATTGTAATTTGTGACCCTGGACCTCAAAACCAGTCATAAGCACGGGCATATTTGTAGCAATAGCCAACAATACATTGTATGGGTCAAAATTATCGATTTTTCTTTTATGCCAAAAATAGGATATTAAGTAAAGATCCTGTTCCATTAAGTTATTTTGTACATTTCCTACCATTAATATATAAAAAAATGTAATTAGTAATATGCATTGCTAAGGACTTCAATTGGACAACTTTAAAGGCGATTTCCTCAGATTCCAGATTTTCAAATAGTTCTCTCAGCCAAATATTGTCCTATCCTAAAAAAGAAACCCTCATATATCAATGGAAAGCTTATTTATTCAGCTTTCAGATGATTGTGTACTGTAAATCTCATTTTCAAAAAATTGACTGGTTTGACTGGTTTTGTTGTCCAGGGTCACATTTGTCCAGCATTAAATTGTACAATATCATCCCAGCTATATTTAGTATATGTGCAGGTGTTGTGGGTTTCCTGCTCGTATTTGTGGCTTGCTTTGTTGGTGTGTGTCTTAGCATGTGTCATATATTCTCAGCAATTTGTGCTAGTAATTGCCTTACTATCCAAGTAATTACTTATCTTTATTGTAGGCAACCTAATAAAACAGCATCTGCTGAGAGTTAAAATGTGAATAGGTGTGAATAATAGTGTCTTTGTTGTTCAGTGTCCGCTTTCTCCACCGTGACAGGATATGTGTGTCAGCTCTCCTGTCGGCCTGCGCAGGAACTCGGGCCCTGTAAGACGTTTCTGGCATGAATGGCAAACACATCCTCTGTCAACTCGGATCTTTTCATGCGTTGCTTCCATCTGGGAGCATAAAGAATAACATTAGAGTTGCTGTTTAGGTTAAATTGAATATTTGAGGGGTTTTTTTTCCTCACATAAATGGTTTCATTTATAGTACGTCTCACCCAGACATGCTTGTGTCTTAGGGTTTCCACCTTGGCTAGGCTCATCTCCAGACCTCTCATTCTTTTGTCATGCACTGTTCCTCTCAGTGATTCACAGAGGAACCGCAGAACCAGTTTAAGAGACCAGGAGTCTGGCAGCACCCTCAACACACTGACTAAATCAAAAGACGCTGCATTTTTGTTCAGCAGATCCACTGCCGTGATAACATGTTGACAGGACTCGAGGTAGATTTGAAGCAGGGAGAGAAACATTCCCTGAGTGAACATCCTGTCTCGTCCAGCAGAGGTCCTCCAACAGTAGCTTTCAGCAGCCTGCTGGTCTTTTTCTTCATGGACCAAAACCTGCAGGGCCTTTTTGTGTTTACCAGACTTCCCAAGTAAAATTGCTCTCTCCACATGAAGAAACGAGGGTGTTATTTGGTCTGTGGCAATAAAGGGTTTAGTGGTTTGTTTCATCCATGAACACTTGCAACAGTATCAAACACATTTAAGTTTGAATTATATTAGTGTAATTAACCTATTAAAGTCTTTATCTGCATGCTCACCATATATGGTGTCCACATTATAGAAAGAAGATTGCCAAAGTAATTGCTGTAGTTTATGTCTCATCTCTTCCTTGCTTGTTTTATTGTTGTAGTCATCCTCGATTGACTGCCGTATCAATTTGACATATGAGGAGATGAGCATGGTATGATGCTTTTCTTCCTGTGAATAGACAACTGGTTTCTTAAATGCAGTGTTCAGTAATGGAAAACTGGCATGAAAGGGGTCATTTTTACAGAATCCTTTGTAATTAATTTTTTTTAAATGTTTTTTTTTTTCTCAATCATTATACGCTCTCTGACCATTTCTTATTTTGCTGCTGTGCACCCCATGTTGTATAATTAGTAGTTTTACACACAAATTTTACACTTAACTTTGGTTCTCTGGGACCATATTACAGAAACATCCTAATTGAGTCTGTTTAGTAACCATGGTGATTTCTGTTTGAAGCTTGTTAGGGCTTAATTTGAGACTTAACTTTCTGTAATAGGCCCCTGAGATATAGAAATAATAGCATTTATCCTGCTTTCTCTTTATTGCATCACTGTGAATGGCCAGGTGAAGTTTCTGATCGTCCAGTTCTGATGTGTAAACGTGGACGACAGTCATGTGTTGATGCAATGCCACAAAATTGCAGAAGTTCAGAGCGAGTCGTTTTTTATAATCAAGTTTCACTAAAAGCTCTTTTTGACTGATGATGAAGTGTTCTGTTATGAATGTTACAAATCTTTTCATACCCGAGTTGTTGTCTTTAATTTAAAAAATTGCCAATTGAAATTATGCTGAAAGAAAATCTAAAATTTTAGATGGAAAAAACTTAATGAAAATGATAAATCTAAGTTTAAGTAGTTATTAACTGAAATAAAACTACACCCCCAAATAAATACTTATGAATATTTAAAAAAATAACATGAACAAAAATGTCAAAGCACATAACAAAATGACAAAAAAAAATGAAACTGAAACTCAAATAAAAAATAAAGGCAAAATAAATTCAAATGATATAAATATAAAAGCTCATTCAAAATATGAATAAAACTATAACAGTATATCAGTAATACTAAAATAACACTGTTCTATACATATAAGCTCTTGTGTATGTCAAAACGCCAATGTAAATTTGATTTCTGGTGACCCCCTTAAAACAGTCATTAATTACAAATGGATAAGTCACCTTGCTGTGTAATTCAATGACTAAATATTCCAAGTAGAGAGTCATAGCAAGTGGGTAGCTGGTGAGAATGGTAAGGACTTCTTCTGGTGCAAATGTAACATGGCTGCGTGTATGCGTCTTTGTAAAGATCAGTATTCCAGCCTATATTAAAATAAAGAGCATGTTTTAGAAAAAACACATAGCCTAGCTTAAAATGCAATAACTCTGACGTTCAAAAGTTTAGTAGTAAGATATATATATATATAAACACTGTTTGAACTTTGTATTCATCCAAATGCATCACGGTTTCCACAAAATGTTAAGCAGCACAACTGTTTTCAACATTGATCATAATAAATGTTCCTTGTTCACCAAATCAGCATATTAGAATGATTTCTGAAGGATCATGTGACTCTGAAGACTGGAGTAATGACGCTGAAAATTCAGCCTTACTGATACAGGAATAAATTATATTTTAAAATGTATTAAATTGGACAATCATTTGTTTTAAACCGTAGTATTATTTCAAAATATTAACGTTTTTGCTGTATTTTTGATTAAATAAATGCAGCCTTAGTGAGCATAAGACATTTCTTTCAAAGGTATTCAAAAAAATCTTACCAAACTCAAACTTTTGATGAATAGTGTATTATAGCAAGGTTGCTCTTAGTGTCTTAGAGCAAATTCTAGATACATGATAGTGTTTCTTTTACTGCCAAGGGCAAAAGAGTAAACTAGACTTGATGAAATCTGTGTAACTCTGCCCTCTGCTGTTGATAAACAGTACAGTTAAAATGCTTGCCTCTTGGTCTCTCTGAAGAACCCAATCTACAAATTTCCAGATGATGGGTTTATGTTCCAGATTTGAGAGAGTATTAACTATTTGCTGGAATACGCTGATGTGTGAGGGGTCCTCGCTCTGCTCTTCCACAATTTTAACCCAGGTCTAAAAAAAAAAAAAAGAAAGAAAGTACTTTCCTTTCTGATCCATCTTTAGTCATTGCTCTGTGGATCTTTCAAAGATTAAAAGATACCTGAATTGCATTGAAATGCTGGCCTTGAGTTTGATAGAGCAATCCAAGTGTGAAAAACCTGAAATGGCAGCAAATGAGTTAGTGGCTTCTCACTAGAAACTAGAAAATAACCTGTGAACGCTGAAGTAGCCTTAAATGATGAGCACAAACCTTTTGTGCTGTTCCAAGTCAGGCACACACGTTTGGAGGTTACAGTTATTCTGCGTCGACACAAGCTGGTCCAGTTTTCCATATTCACCTCGTTCCAAATACAGCTTAAAAAGTGCCGAGTCGATGTCCTGAGGACACATTTGGCCCTGTCCTGTTGGCCTGACTTCTCTCAAGAAGTCATCCAAAAAGATTAGGTACTGTTGAAATGTCGGCCAATCGTCTCGACTTAACGTCCACAGGTCCTTGGCATTGCTCACTGCTGTTGTCTGAGGTGTAAAGTCTTCACTCATAACAGGCATAGCTGGATAAAGGCTAATGATTTCCCTTGGGTCTAGTTCACCTTTACTGGAAAATAAAGGATTCTAGTGAAAAGGTGAAGGATGTTGAAACAATTTCCACACAGAAATTGCTAGTAAACTTCACAAATTACACGAAATTATAAAGCAGAAAAACTGAAAAATTACTTGCTTGTAAAACACATTAAAGCATTACTTACATAAAAAGCTCTTTTGCTTCCACAAAAGCCTCTCTATAGAACTTTATCATTCCAGATGTACAGATGACATTTTTATGTAAATCCTAAAAGTAAAGTGATGAATGGCATAAATCAGGATATATGTTATGCAGTTGATAAATATATTAGTTTTCACTCCAATTATGAAGTTGGACTATAAATAAATAAATACATACATATACAGTACGTACATACATACATATATAAATATATATATATTAGTGCTGGGCAACGATTAATCGCTATTAATCACATCCAAAATAAAACGTTTTTGTGTACATAATACACAAAATATGTATATTTATTATGTATATATAAAGACACACACATACAGTATATATTTTAAAAATATTTTCACGTATAATTATATTCATATAATTTATATTCTATATAATATTTAATATATGAACATAACATGTTTTTCTTAAATATATACATGCATGTGTGTGTATTTATATATAAATATACAATATACACAGTTCATATATATATAGAATATATATATATATATATATATATATATATATACAGAATATGAGTATATATATATATATATATATATATATATAGAACATGTTTACTTTAGTTTGCTTTATTATTGATAAGCAAGTATATAAAAACGTATTAAATATTTAACAGCACATTTAATTCTAAAATCATGCATTTGATAAGCGCACATCTGTGAACATGTGCCTCTGTGATCTTTGTTTAATACTATTGTCTTGCTGGAATGGCATCTGTGCATCTGGTGCGAGTGCTTATATGAATTACCTTGCTCAGTGTGTAAGACGCTCAGCCTCACTGACCTCATGGCTCCGTTAAACATTATGTGTAGTTTCTATGTTTTAAGATTATTCTCATATGACTCTGTCTTTCAGCAGGATACCTACTTATCAAATATAATCTATGTGTTATAAATGATGATTAAATGAGATATTATTGACACTAAGGGGTCAGAGATTGGCAGGTTAACATTATTCATGACATAGATATGCTGATAGATGCTGGCTTAATGGATTATATATTTCTAACATATTAAAGAAAGATAAGACAAACATCCACTTTGTAATTAGTAATTACTCTACCTTGTATGAATCTTTTGGCAGGAGATCTTGAAGTCTGTCCAACAGCATCAGGGCTTCATCAACTCTCTGACTCTTAACCAGGTCTTCAATCTGATCCTCCAAAGGAACAGGTGACAGCCGATGAATCTCTTTGTCAGCAACAACAAAAACACTTTCTATAACAGAAAAAGATAGGAAATAGTTAAAAATGTGCCATTAAATGACTATAAAATTAAAAGTATGATATTGCTATTATCAGTGTCTACAGATTATGGCAACAAGCTCAGATTGCATACTCAAATCTGATTGTTTTAAAGCAGTTGTTCTCAACTCCAGTCCTCGGGACCCACTGCTCTGTACATTTTGTATGTCTTCCCTTATTTAACGCACCTGATTCAGATCATCAGCTTGTTAGGAGAGAGATCCATGAACTGAACTGAGTGTGTGAGATTCAGAAACATACAAAATGTGCAGGGCTGCGTTCCCCAAAAGCATCATAAGATTAAGTTGATCGTAGCTCCATTGGTTTCAATGGGTGTACGACCCCCTGCTCTGCACATTTTGCATGTCTCCCTTATTTAACACACCTGATTCAGATCATCAGCTTGTTAGGAGAGAGATCCATGAACTGAACTGAGTGTGTGAGATTCAGAAACATACAAAATGTGCAGGGCTGCGTTCCCCAAAAGCATCATAAGATTAAGTTGATCGTAGCTCCATTGGTTTCAATGGGTGTACGATGTACTTAAGCTTACGATGCCTTTGGGAAACGCAGCCCAGAGCTGAGAACCGCTGGTTTAAAGTCCGTGTGAATGTGGCATATTTTGTGTGAAACATATTTTTAGTATTTGTTGATTTAAAAAATGTATTATAATTTTAATTTTTTTTAAATAAAAAAATATTTAAAAAAGAATTTACGGTTACACTTTACTTGAAGGGGTGTGCATAAGACTGACATGACACCTTCATAATCATGACATGACACGTCATGAATATGAAGGTTTTTTATGCATGTTTATGACAACTGTCAT